CCTGTGTGTGTTCTCTGATGCAGTTGAAGATCGGCACTCTGAGTGAATCTCTTCCCGCACTCTGAGCATTCAAAATGTTTCTCACCTGTGTGTGTTCTCTGATGCAGTTGAAGATCGGCACTCTGAGTGAATCTCTTCCCGCACTCTGAGCATTCAAAATGTTTCTCACCTGTGTGTGTTCTCTGATTCACTTGAAGATGTCCTCTATGACTGAATATCTTTCCACACTCTGAGCTTTCAAAAGGCTTCTCCCCTGTGTGCATTCTTCGATGAAGTTGAAGATGGCCTCTCCGACTGTATCTCTTTCTGCATGCTGAACATTTTAAAGGTGTCTTCCCTGTGTGGTTTGTCAGATGCTTTTGAAGATTCCCACTCACACTGCATCTCTTTCCACACACTGAATATTCAAAAGGTTTCCTCCCTGTGTTGGTTCTCCAAAGCTGTTTAAGATGCTCACTCACACCAAATCTCTTTCCACACTCTGAGCATTCAATGCAGTTACTTGCTTTTATTATCTTGTTCTTTGGAATATCTACATTAAACTGTCTTCCATCTCTCTTCTCAACCATACGAGCGACATTCTTTCTCATCGGTTTGCCTCGATTCGTGACGTTTTCTTTCAGGTCTTCATTTTTAACTTTATCTGGGATTTGCTGATGAGCTTCCTCACCTTCTTCCTTCCTCCGATCATCTTCTGCTGGAATAAAGACAGAGATCCTGTTAATAATGGGGGAGGGCTGGGAAGGCCCAAAGGCATGTATGTGACCGCAGGAGGAAAGGATTGACACCATCTCTTTGGCCTCGTCCACCTTGGCTGATCTTAACCACCCCTCCACTTTTCCCCAGAATATCTCATATCAATGATTCCTCACCCATTCAAGGGCCACAGATGAGCTCCTGCCCAGAAAGAGCTTCTGAGCCTCCAGATTTCAGGCCCTCCCTCCTTCCCCAGCGGGCCGTATGACTGCACGAAACGTTGCTTGGAAGTTAATCAGAAATCCCCCGTGGCACTTCCTTGCTTTTTCCCTTGACATAACCGTGAAGGATACTCACTCTCAGTCAGCTCATTTGGGAAGGAAATATGTTCCTGGGATCCTCTTGAGGAAATCCTCAGCCTTTCTTTAGATGCCAGGCCGTTGTCTATCTCCACCGTCATCTCTCTTATACTCCTGCCTTCGTTTGCAGAGGAACAGAGAGAAAGAGAGAGAAAGTGATCATTCTTATATGGGGAAGAAAAGAAAAGAAATTCAAGAGCAAAAACTCTTCTGGGAGGATGAAACCACGGTCAAGATCAAAGTCCACAATCCAAACGAGTATAAAGGGAATAGATCTGTGAGGCAGAGCACCGTAGTTCCCCCAAAGATTTACGTGATTATTAAGTGGCCTGGTCTGACTTTCAGGCATTCGTGATTCGAGTCTCCCTGCAGTGAACATTCTGATATTTTTCAGGGCCATTGCTTACTCGGGAGAAACTGTATCCAGCTGTGTAGCCAGGAGAGGTGGGGGGATTAGGAGGGTGCTGACAGCCTCTGGAAAATTCCATCATGGAGGACCCTTGATTGGGTCGTTAGGACCACCTGACCCTAAGAGGTAGAAAGTATAACAGATGTATAGATAAGAGGGAAGCCAGGCTAACTTTATGCTCATGCCATCCTAGTATGTCTTGATATTGTCTTGCTGCGTCATGATGAATAGTTTTCTGTAAAATAATTTAGGCTGCACCTGGAATACTGATGCTGTAAAAGAGGTGCCACCTAATACCACGTATTTCATGTATTGGCTAGAACAGTTACCTCTCCTTGTTTTTCTGTTGTTGAGCTGAAGCAACATGGCTGCTTAGTGATTTTTTATTTTTAAATCCTCGACAAACCTTTATATATTTAAAAAGGGGTCTGCTTTACTTGTGTGCTGTCTTCTCATGGACCCACTGAACTCAGTGCTGTTCAGGTACAAAGAGAGTAGCGATGTAAAGCTAGTCTCAGTGAGGTTGATAAAAGGGAACACAGGCGTGGCAAATGAAATGCAGGCCTGTGATCAGGCAGGCAAAAAGGGAATAGGAGGAGTGCATTGCCCCTCATGGATCACTGTCTTGTCGTGGCGTGGGGGCTTGCGCGGTTTGATGAAGCGAAAGGGAACACAGGCGTGGCAAATGAAATGCAGGCCTGTGATCAGGCAGGCAAAAAGGGAATAGGAGGAGTGCATTGCCCCTCATGGATCACTGTCTTGTCGTGGCGTGGGGGCTTGCGCGGTTTGATGAAGCGGTGGGTATGCCGTGAAGGGCCACCCAAGACGGACGGGCCACAGCAGAGAACTCAGACCAAGTGTGATCCCCTGAAGAAGGTAATGGCAACCCACTCCAGTATCTTTGCCAAGAAAACCCCATGGACAGTATCAAAAGGTTAAAAGATATGATGCCGGAAGATGAGCCCCTCAGGTAGGAAGGGGTCCAATATGCTACTGAGGAAGAGCAGAGGGCAAGTACAAGTAACCCCAGAAAGAGTGAAGCGGCTGGGCCAAAGCCGAAAGGACGCTCAGTTCTGGATGTGTCTGATGGTGAAAGGAAAGTCCAATGTTGCAAAGAACAATACTGCATAGGAACCTGGAATGTAAGATGTATGAATCAAGGTAAGCTTGACATGGTCAAAAATGAGATGGCAAGACTGAACATCAACATCTTGGGAATCAGTGAACTAAAATGGACCAGAATGGGTGAATTTAACTCAGAAGACCATTATATCTACTATTGTAGCCAAGAATCCCATAGAAAAAATGGTGTGGCCCTTATAGTCAACAAGAGAGTGCGAAAGGCAGTACTGGGATACAATCTCAAAAATGACAGAATGATCTTGGTCCGAATCCAAGGCAAACCATTCAACATCACAGTAATCCAAGTCTATGCCCCAACCACTGATGCAGAAGAGGCTGAAGTGGACCGGTTCTATGAAGACCTACAACACCTCCTAGAACTAACACCTAAAAATGATGTCCTCATCATCATAGGGGACTGGAATGCTAAAGTAGGAAGTCAAAAGGTAACCGGAATAACAGACAAGTTTGGCCTTGGAAAGCAAAATGAAGCAGGGCAAAGGTTAACAGAGTTTTGTCAAGAGAACACACTGGTCATAGCGAACACCCTTTTCCAACAACCTAAGAGACGACTCTACACATGGACATCACCAGATGGGCAACACCGAAATCAGATTGACTATATAATTTGCAGTCAAAGATGGAGAAGCTCTATCCAGTCAGTAAAAACAAGACCTGGAGCTGACTGTGGCTCAGATCATGAGCTACTCATTGCAAAATTCAGACTTAAACTGAAGAAAATTGGGAAAACCACGAGGCCATTCAGGTTTGACCTAGATCGCATCCCTGATGAATATACAGTAGAGGTGAAGAATAGATTCAAGGGTCTGGATTTGATAGATAGAGTGCCTGAAGAACTATGGACAGAGGTTCGTGACATCGTACAGGAGGCAGCAATCACCACCATACCAAAGAAAAAGAAATGCAAGAAAGCAAAATGGCTTTCTGATGAGGCTTTACAAATAGCAGAGGAAAGAAGGAAAGCGAAAGGCAAAGGCGAAAAGGAAAGATTTACCCAACTGAACGCAGATTTCCAGAGAACAGCAAGGAGAGATAAGGAGGCCTTCCTGAATGAACAGTGCAAAGTAATAGAAGAAAACAATAGAATGGGAAGGACTAGAGATCTCTTCAAGAAAATTGGAGAAATCAAGGGAGCGTTCCATGCAAAGCTGGCCATGATAAAGGACAAAAACGGTAGGAACCTAAAAGAAGCAGAAGAGATTAGGAAAAGATGGCAAGAATACACAGAAGAACTATACAAGAAAGACCTCGATGTCCTTGACAACCACGACGGTATAATCACTGACCTCGAGCCAGACATCCTGGAATGTGAAGTTAAATGGGCCTTAGAAAGCATTACTAACAACAAAGCTAGTGGAGGTGATGGTATTCCAGCTGAGCTATTCAAAGTCTTAGAAGATGATGCTGTTAAAGTTCTGCACTCCATTTGCCAGCAAATTTGGAAAACGCAACAGTGGCCACAGGATTGGAAAAGATCAGTATACATTCCAATCCCAAAGAAGGGCAATGCCAAGGAATGTTCAAACTATCGCACAATTGCACTCATATCACACGCTAGCAAGGTCATGCTCAAGATCCTACAAGCTAGGCTTCAACAGTACGTGGATAGAGAACTACCAGAAGTACAAGCTGGGTTTCGAAGAGGTAGAGGAACTAGAGATCAAATTGCCAACATTCGCTGGATTATGGAGAAAGCAAGAGAGTACCAGAAAAATATCTACTTCTGCTTCATTGACTATGCTAAAGCTTTTGACTGTGTGGATCACAACAAACTATGGCAGGTCCTTAAAGAGATGGGAGTACCAGACCACCTCACATGTCTCTTGAGAAACCTGTATAAGGGCCAAGAAGCGACAGTTAGAACCGGATATGGAACAACTGATTGGTTTAGCATAGGAAAAGGAGTACGACAAGGATGTATATTGTCGCCTTGCTTATTTAATATATATGCAGAGTACATCATGCGAAATGCTGGCCTGGATGAATCACAAGCGGGAATTAAGATTGCTGGGGAAAAGATCAACAACCTCAGATATGCAGACGATACCACTCTAATGGCAGAAAGTGAAGAGGACCTAAAGAGCCTCTTGCTCAGGGTAAAAGAGGAGAGCGCAAAAGTGGGCTTGAAGCTCAACATCAAAAAAACTAAGATCATGGCATCCGGCCCCATCACTCCTTGGCAAATAGAAGGGGAAGTCGTGGAAGTAGTGACAGACTTCACGTTCCTGGGATCCCAGATCACCGCAGACTGTGACAGCAGCCATGAAATTAAAAGATTTCCTTGGGAGGAAAGTGATGGCGAACCTAAACAGCATGATAAAAAGTAGAGACATCACCCTGCCAACAAAAGTCCGCATGGTCAAAGCAATGGTATTCCCAGTAGTCATGTATGGCTGTGAGAGTTGGACTATAAGGAAGGCCGAGCGCCGAAGAATAGATTCTTTTGAACTATGGTGCTGGAGGAGACTCTTGAGAGTCCCTTGGACTGCAAGAAGAACAAATCAGTCAATCCTCAAAGAAATCAACCCTGACTGTTCCCTGGAAGGCCAGATAATGAAACTGAAGGTCAAATACTTTGGCCACCAAATGAGAAGGGAGCACTCACTGGAGAAGACCCTGATGCTGGGAAAGATTGAAGGTCAAAGAAGACGGGGACGGCAAAGGATGAGATGGTTAGACAGTGTCGTAGATGCAACGAACATGAAATTGAGCAAACGTCAGAGGACGGCGGAAGACAGGAGGGCCAGGTGGGAGCTGGTCCATGGGGTCGCGAAGAGTCGGACTCGACTGTGTGACTGAATAACAATTGCCAAAAGCATGAAGACCAACAATAAAACTTTCTACAAATAGATTAGAAGCAGAAAAAGAGCCAGGGAGTC